TCTTGTGACACTTCCGTGAAGTTTCCCCTTGAGTAGATGCTTCCAACTTTGAATTTTCACTGTTGTGAGTGCTTGTACATGTTGCGATTCATCTTCTGACATTTCCGTGAAGTTTCTCCTTGATTAGATGGTTCAAACTTTTTGTTTTCACTGTTGTGAGTGCTTGTACATGTCGCGATTCATCTTGTGACACTTCCGTGAAGTTTCCCCTTGATTAGATGGTTCAAACTTTGAGTTTTCATTGTTGTAAGTGCTTGTACATGTTGCGATTCATCTTGTGACACTTCCGTGAAGTTTCCCCTTGAGTAGATGCTTCCAACTTTGAGTTTTCACAATTATGAGTGCTTGTACATGTTGCGATTCATCTTGTGACACTTCCGTGAAGTTTCCCTTTGATTAGATGGTTCAAACTTTGAGTTTTCACTGTTGTGAGTGCTTGTACATGTTGTGATTCATCTTGTGACACTTTCGTGATGTTTCCCCTTGAGTAGATGCTATCAATCTTGAGTTTTCACTATGTTTGGTGCTTGTACATGTTGCGATTCACTTGGTGATGCTTCCGTGATGTTTCCCCTTGAGCAGAGCCTATCAATCTGGAGTTTTCACTGTGTTTGGTGCTTGTACATGTTGCGATTCACTTGGTGATGGTTCCGTGATGTTTCCCCTTGAGTAGGTGCTGCCAATCTTGAGTTTTCCCTGATGTAGGTGCTTGTACATGTTGCGATTCACTTGGTGATGCTTCCGTGACGTTTCCCCTTGAGTAGATGCTCCCAATTTTTTGAGTTTTCACTGTGTTTGGATTCGGTGAGGCTCCAATACCCACCTTGATGTTCCGCGATTCAATTCTTGGCTGGAGGACTAGTCAAAAACTTGTGTTTTGCACTAGGTAGGTAGGTGGGGATGTCCCGATACTCACCATGATGTTCCTCTGTTCAATTGTTGGCTGTAGGAATAATCAAACTTGTGTTTTGCACTAGGTAGGTAGGCGGTGATGTTCCAATACTCACCTTGGTGATTCCGCTGGTTAGATCTTGGTTGTAGGAGTGTCCAAACTTGTGTCTTGTGCTGATTCACTTGTGTATTGTGCTGGTCACACTCGTGCTTTCACTAGTACCCTACGTAGCTGTGTTCCGGGTTATCTGTGGGGTGTTGTGTTGCTGTTCACTTGTATATTGTGCTGTTCACACTCGTGCTTTCACTAATGCACTAGGTAGCTGTGTCCCAAGTTATCCGTGGGGTGTTGTGTTGCTGTTCACTTGTATATTGTGCTGTTCACACTCGTGCTTTCACTGGTACACTAGGTAGCTGTGTTCCGGGTTATCTGTGGGGTGTTGTGTTGCTATTCACCTGTGTATTGTGCTGCTCACACTCGTGCTTTCACTCGTGTACCGGGTAGTTGTGTCCCAAGTCATCTGTGAAGTGTTGTGTTGCTGTTCACTTGTGCTTTGTGCTGTTCAC